CTGCTTGATAACACAAAAAAGTAAATCATCATTGCTCACTAGGAAGCAGGGCAATAAAGTTATAAATATCTCATTACAGCTTCATAGTGATTTTGTATGTTAAAATCTACTTCAGCAAGAATGACACTCTTTTGACCACTCTTCATGCAGGTTTCTTTCAGGATCATAACTAATTCTACACATAGTTCAGTATCAAGCAGAGAGACAGAAATCAATACCAAATCAGACAGGTGCAAAGAACAGAATACTAACATCAACATGGTTTACTACAAACCAGTTATATAAAAATTCCCCAATTAATCTCCTCATAAGTATGGAATAAGTATAACCAAATAAGTATGGAATTTAAAATTTTGTTATGAGTGGATATCTTAAAAAAATGGAATCCTAATATATGCAGCCTTAAATCACCGCATTAATTTTGAAATTTTGCCTGGTGGAACACATCAAAGTAATTTAAAAAACAAAATCAAGTTTGTTGAGTAAGAATAGGCTTGCAGCATAATTTGAAGCTCAAGTATGGGCCCTGACGAACAGCTGTAGGGAAAAAAGAGTTCTCAAAGGCAATGACCACCACATCGATGTTTTTCACTCTTGAAACGCACCATAGGAAAAGCAGCAGTCCCTTAAATAACTGGATTCTACATTATACAACAATTAAACACCCTTCACATAGGAAAATGTCCTCTGTTTCCAAATCTACATAATAATCACTTTTCCCTATTCAACATCTTTCCCATGATTACATGTGTAAATGCTAGGAGAAATGCCTCAGCCACAGTTCAGTTGGTTAAGAGTAGATTTAAATATCTAATTAAGATGGGTCATTATTTCAAAGAGACACCAGGGGAGATTAACTGAATGATACAATATATGGCATTGACTCAATTGGCAGCAGTATTTTCTTTGGGTCTACAACAAAGTAATATCCTATGCAAGAGTTCAAAATGCTTTGATCCACTCTGTCATCTCAAAGAAGGTCTTTTACGAATGCAACAGAGATGCCTGCCAGGGTTTTCTTATCACTGGAATCAATGCTGCTACAGGTGCTATATTTCAGATGCAACTTAACACTACAGTTCTACTTTTGTTCACTGTGGAGCCATTTTTACAAGGAGACTTGGTCACCTAACTTTTTATTACTATTTCTGTTGAAGAGCTTCCTTCTTCCTTTCCATGCCATATTGCTGATCTCAGTTCAGGGGCACTCACATTCCCTCACTCACTCTGCATCAGCAGTGGCCATATAAATCCTATAAACAGGAATTGGTCCTGAATGTCCTACTCATACATGTAAATGTATGTAAGTGTCTGATGAGACTGGTACTGTCTAATAAGTTTGTAAAACACACAGACATTATGGAACTGTAACATATTATTATAAAACATTTACATACTCAAAGACTACAAAACAATAGGATTTCCTTACTATGACATATTTCCCTCCCACACTTGCAAGCAAAGCAAATTAACATATCATCATTCTTCATACTCTTAATCTAACATCAGCTCTTTAATACACAACAAAACTAAGTTGTCAGTCTCAGCAATAAGTCGGAATAAGTACAAAACAAGTTCCTTACTAAAACCATCTGACATATGATTTGACTTTTGAAATAATTATAGACTTTATATGTTTGCCATTTGCAAATCAAAATCTGCTGACATGATAGGCTAAAACCTGGAACTTGATCTTATACTGGTGAAATAAAAAGAGAATTCTTTCCACTTTTCAGAATGTCAAAACCAAGGCTCTGAATGGGCAAGGCCTTAGAGATGCTACTGTATTCAATGTTACCATTAATCCTTGTAAACCACAGCTCCAGTTTCTAAAACCTGAGAAATGAGAATGGATGGATCATCAGCCTGGACATTTTGTTTCATTTTATATTGTAAAGCACTGGTTTATCAGGGAACAGTACCTCCTAATTCTCTATAAGAACAACAGTGTGGTACATGACAGCGGAGCAGCCATGCAGCTAGCAGACCCTTGACCCAAAAGCTTACAGGTACTTCTGTTCTCAAAGTTTATAGCTATTGAGATGTTGATCATAAGTATTTTAAAGGTTACAGTAAGATTGTATTTATTTATTCTTAAAAATCTTCCACACAACACACCAGTTAAAGCACAAAATAGCTGCGCATTCTGTAATAGACTCAATCTAGTACACAACCTAAACTAAGGTGTGTACAACTCCTTTTGTTTGTCAATAAACGTACAATCACTACTCAAAAGCAGTTTCTGAACCAACAGTACTTCTAAAACGGTCATATTCATTTGAGATTGAGAACTGTCTTTTGACTTCAAACATTTAACTTAGCACCTCTTCCTCAGCTGCCTGTTCTGCTTTTTAAGTTGAAAGCCTGACTTCAACCATTGAAACTAAAGGGAATTTTGCAATTAATGTTCTGTACCTCACCCCCATTTCTCTAAAAACAGTTATCCTCGTTTTCCTCCTGTTTAACATCTATGTTTACGTCCAACTTCTATGGCCTTATACTTCTGTTTCTTCAGAAACAGAAGTGGATATCACCTACATTTACCTCTGCTGATTATTTCATCTGCATTGTCACTTTTCCCTTTTAAAAAAGCTTCACAAAAGTGAAAGTACACAGGGGTTTGAATCATCTCGGGATGCAAGGGCAGGGAAGGAGAGTAGACCTATGGTCTGCAAGTCATTTTGAACTCTCAGAGACCTATGAAGTTTTCCTTTAGAGGCACAAAACAAATTTAAACCTACTAACAACACAGTGGGTTGGGGACTTAGCTATTCTATCAACTGACATGGGACTCTCGGAAACAGTCTACGGAGAACCAAAGGCTCCTATATTAAAGTTAAAGACCACTGAACTAGGTCTTCAATTATGGAAAGGACTTCCCTCTAATACTGTGATGCATCCATCTTATGTTAAGTAATTTTACACTGCTTACCTGTTCAGTGACATCATAAGACACTAAATCACAAGAACTCTGCATTTCCACCCTGATGCATAAATTCAAAGTTTAGTCTCATAAATAAGCTAACAATGAATTATTTGTAATAAACAACAAAAATCTTTCCTAAAAGCACACATGCATGAAATTTCCATTTCAAAGAAATTTCAAGCAATTGCTAATTAATCCTGTTTAAAACAATGTTTTTAAGTAACTTAGCCACACCAAAAAAAAACACCCTTCAAAAATAATTCTCAACTAAATGCAGAATCTTGAGTATCCCAACTCCATCTCCTAATAATCTCAAGCCAAACAAAGCCCCAACACAAAAATGAGGTTCATTTCTATGTTCCAGAACCAGAAAAAACAATATTGCTAGCACATGCATACAGCTGAGCCTATGTCTTTAAACAAGGTATGAGACAATCTCTGTCAGGTGCTTTATTTGTGCATAAACTCCACGTTCAACACAGTGACTACACAATTTGAATCATTGGGTTTGGGTGACAGATGCAGCTGGTGGCAGCTTTTAGTTTTTACAGAATAAAGTCTTGGAAAACATTCAGGATATAGCAAAAGTAAGATTTCTTGGTAAGATCATCGGCCAAAAATGTTGGACACCTTTTAAAAGTACCGCTGAAAAGAGTCAGTTAGAAAATACTGCTTTTTGTTATTTCAATCTATTCATTTAAATGCAGGCAGGCACCGTAAGCATTCAGTGGGCAGAGATCAAAACTCTTATCTACCTCCCAACAAACTGATACTGTTACCACCAACTACAGGTGTGTTTTCTCTCTACTTTCTTTGTATTCCTTCCTCTCAGATTTCAACAGCTCCCATCTCAACCTTCCTAGAAAACTAGCTCAGCAGTAAGCAAGCATGAAATGACGGCAGCAGGTGCAGAACTGCTCAGCCCATCTTACATAATTTGCAAGCCTAAATGTCAAGCCAGTCAACACTAACGACAAAGTCCTGGCTTCTTAGACCTCCAAGTAAATCTGTACTCTGTCACAGCACCTTACAGGGAGCAAGTGGTTGCTTTCAAACTAACCCTAGAATTCAAGCCTCCCTCCTGAAAAGGCATTATAACCACCAGAAAAGCACCTCCCAAGCTCTCCATGGAACCATAATAAAACAGCCTACAGGAGCATAATAAACAGTTTTCAGCAGAACTAAATTTTTAACAACACTGGTTTGTGGTGGTTCTCAAGATCTCAAGATCAATGATTGCATTACCTATCATGTGAAATGGTACACAAAGCAATAGTTTGTACAAAACAGGTGACTTAGATACTTTAAGGAAAAGAAATTTCAGGCTCTGAGCTCCAGTGTCAAAATAAATACCTGAATCAATGGGTGCTGTTAGATGCTCAACTCTAAAAGAATAAAGCAATTTCTGACACGTCTTATCTCACGTTCTCTTTTATCAGCCACCTTGGGAGTCTCCCCTATGCAAAGTAAAATCTACTTTGAGCATTTTACTCTTCCAGTGTACCATTCACAGAGGTTACACACCCGAGTCTCTTCATCTTTTTTGAATCCCAAAATTTTATCACAACTTGTAAGCTAATCTAAACCCTTCTAGAATTAAAAATAAAAGAAGGAGCTTGGCCTATTTCAAACACTTGGCACTACAGCCACTTGATATACTGAAGTTGAGGGAGGTCAGATAAAAGAGAAGGGTTGGGGATTTTTTCAGTTTTGACACATTCATAGCTACAGATAAGGTCACAAAAATTTATCTTCAATTTTTAATTTACAGAGAAGATCGAGTAAGCAAGTGGTAAACAACAGCGAAAAATGTTTGTAACCGTCTCCCTGCTGAAAACCAGCACTATCAAGTGGCAGCAATGAAAGTGTTTTAACAAGATTATTATTGCCAACAATATGACAAATTAAGTCTCCCAAACTACAAAATGGGAGTAAGACAAAAAGTAATGTAGCTGGCATGTCAGCTCCAGCTATATTCAAAGAGCTTAAATGCACACGAACTTAATAAAATCTAGTTCTGAAAAGACATCTCAACTGTGACGGGCTGGGTATTCTTCTTGGACAAGGAACTCACCCAGATTTCAAGTCTGTAATCCGTAAACAATTAGTAGCATCCAATCCTACTTTTCCATTTCTGACCACACTGGAAATGAAGGGAGAGAGCGCTGGAGAAATTCTGTTCAAGGCAACTTCAGGTGACATTTTAGTACGTTCCTCCTTCCTTTTGTCTTGAGCTGCAAAGGCATGGCAAAGAAAAAAAATAAAATCCAAAAATATCCCACTTATTTGATGCAAATTCACATGCATTCTGCAAACACCAAAATTAAAAAAAAAAAAAAAAGCTAAGCACACAAAGGACTACAAGTAACTACTAAGTGTGCACAGGTTTATAAACTAAAAATAAGAACAGGTAGGTTTTTTTCCTCCTAACTCTGCAGTACTCAATGAAGTCCGTTTATTCAATATCAACATACAGGTTCCTTTAATTAAGGTCCTATCCCAACGAGAAAGAGAAAAAAAAAACCTGAGGGCCACTCTGACAGTTTACAACCTAGACCTCCTTGTGGGCATTTCCATTAGGCCTGTAATTGACAAGCCACATTTGCTCGGCTCCCACTGAAATCAATGGGCCTTACAATAACTGCAGTGGGCCCAAGGGGGGTTTGATTATTTGTATTGCCACGTGTAATTTCTAATAGCACCAGTGTACTACTCATAATCAATATTAATTTAACACTACTTCATTAGGACTTCATGATGCCTTTTAAAGGCTAACGCTGCTTCTCCTTCAGTGGTATCACCATACCCTTTGAAAAGCGCCTTCATCTTCCTTCACATAACAGATCAGGAAGCTGATGCAGACACAGTTTAAGCACAGTTTTTTCAGAAATGCTGCACTTGCGTGACCTTATGATAATTCAGACAGACCACTAAGTTAGCACCCTTTAAGAACCTGTTGCTTTTTAGGTGAAATGCAGAAACTGAGCATGTACACGTTTTAACTCATGGCACCACAGAAAGACTAGGGTATGTGGACAAGAACAGACTGTTCTAAGAGGAGTGGGAGAAAAGAAGGCTAATCAAACTATTAAAATGTTAACATATTTTACCATATTCTTAGGCACAGTTTCATCTGAAAATTAACTGAACTTGGCAGTTTTGGAGAAAAAGGCTGTAAATGATTGATGGTAACATAAACACGCCACATCAGTGAGACAGAAGAACTCAAACTCTGACCATTAGAAGATATTTTTTAAAACATGCATTTAATTGAAAAACAGTAATACACACTGCATTCACTCTCTTACAAAATTCTGCATTAATAAGTGTTCTACAGAGAGCGTGAACAACTCATGGCAATAACCACAACTTTCTGTTGTTTCTCACACTCAGTTTACAAGTATTGGTTAATAACTACTGGATATTCTACAAACTAATAGTCTTCTGTGACTGGGAGCAACATTAATTTAACATTCTTTTTCACATTCTATTCTCATGCAAGTCATTCACACTGAAGCAATACAAAGCAATGCTCAAGAAAGAGCGTTTGTCCTGCTATTTGGAACATATCTGAATAAAACAAAGGCCAGGCACATTAAGGCAAACAGAAAGACTAATAAAGTAAGACTTCCTAAAAACAGTAATTATCTTTAATACACTGGCTCCAACATTTTATGGCAGCAAAGAAACTGAAGACTAAGTATCCATGCCCTGGCATATAATATGTTCTCTTCACATATATCATTTGCTGTAATTGACAATGGCAACAACTTAACTTTGCTTAGCAAACATCTACAGCAATTTAATGCGCTACCTCCTGTTTGGTACTTTTCTACCAAAAATTACTGCTTACTTACCTTTATTCTTCCCCAGAGGGACTGAGAGAACACAAGCCCACACTTGACCTATTTCAATCCAAAGTCCAATGGTTTACATTGAACTGCTAATAAAGATGAGTTTAAACTAAAACACTTTGCACAAGAGTGGCTGAAACAGGGCACATACTTCAGTCTGCCAGCCCTGCTGCAGGGAAGAGTAACTTCAAGCAGGGGGCAGGTGGACTAATGAAGATAAGAACTTAAACCATGACAAAATGCTGAAAAACAAGCTATCCTTTTCGAAATCTTATTATACACGAGGATCTCAGAACTGGTTTTAGCACATTTTAAGGGGACTGTAAGTGTTATGAGGGTGAAATTGTGAGACATAAGAGATATACGAGGTAGTCACAGCTGATCAGATGCACCTTCCAAAATGAACTGCAGAATGAGAGTCCTTAACTTTTTGTTAGCAAAATTTGCAGATATTGTCAAAACAAGATATAAATTACTGTTAGTAATTTTTGCTGATTTTATTGTATCAATTTTTTTTAAAATCACAATACCTTCTATATAATAAACTATATCAGTTAAACTCATTTATTTTGTCAGCAAAGGGTTTTATAAATTAGAACACAATTTGTACCATTTTCTTAAGTTTCAGATGTCATATACTTTTTCCCCCCCCTCTAGCTTAAGTTTCCCACAGTACTGGAAACCAAACACAAACAAACTCAAGGGAATTAACAAAAACAAAATTCACCGGACTGTTTCCCTCACAAAACAAAACATTTGAAAGAAGCAAACAAAACTAGTAGTTGAATCCTTTTAGATTCAGCTGGATGAATAACTTCAGGCTAATGTTACATATGCCTCACAGTAACCATGGGGTCCCAGGCACTGCTTCAGGCACTGGACAGTGTCTGGATGAGAGATACTCTGTCCCTCCACCCCCCGCAACAGCATCATGGGCATTTAGTGAAGCTTTAAGAAGGCAAAGGCTAATACTGTGATGGAGGCCTGGGAGCACGAGGGGACCTTTCCTTGTCTGACCCTCTTGGTGCGACCGTCAGCAACATGGTTGTGTGGTTTTAAAACACTTTGGGGGTGGCAGGAACGGGTGTCCGGGTGTGAGTGGGAAAAGGAGGGGACCCACCACCAGGAGCACCTCGTGCTGCTGTTCACGGGATGTGCCCGGCAATGTGGATGTGCGGGGCTCTGGTACAGCCCTGAGCTCCCTCAGCCCTGGGACGGGAGAACGCTCAGAATCCCAGGATGAGTCAGGCTGGAAGTGACCACAGTGCGTCATCTTCCAACCCCCCGGCTCAGACAGGGTCATCCTAGAGCACACTGCAAAGGACTGCATCCAGATGGTTCTTGAATTCCAGAGGGAGACCCCATACCCTCTCTGGACAGCCCGTCCCGGTGTACGGTCACCGGCACAGTAAAGATGCTGTTCCTCGTATTCAGGCGGAACTTCCTGCACTCCAGTTTCCCTCCGGGCTGGCCCCGGCCCGACCCAGCCCAGCCCAGCCCAGCCCAGCCCAGCCCAGCCCCACTCCCTCCCCAGCCGGGGCCGCCCCGTGCGAAGGCGGCGGGGCTACCACCCGCGGAGCTGCGTCCGCCCCGCCCCGCCCCAGCGCCGCTGTTTACAGCGGTCCCCGGAGGCTCCGGGCCAGCTCCTCCCGGCGCGGAGTGCCCTCTCGCCCGCTGCCGCCCCGGGAGGGGCAGGAGCGCCGCTGCTCCCCCTTCCCCGAGCCCGTCCCGCTCCCGCCCGGCCCGGCCCCGCCATTACCTACGGCGGCCGGAACTCGCCGCTTGGCAACGGCGTGCGCGCCCCCGCTCCCGCCGTGCGCGCCCCCGCCCCGCCGCGCGCCCTGCGCGCCGCCGCTCCCCCCGCGCCGCCGCCGCCGTCCCCGCCCGGGCCGGAGGGGTCTTCACAGGCCCCGATAGTGGTGGCCGCCGCAAGTGCCTGCGCGGGCTGTGTGGCGGCTGGGCCGGAGCGGGGCGAGGGAGAGAGGAGGAGGGGGAGCCGCCGTGGCAGCAGGCGCTCGGCAGGGCAGCACTGCCGGACGAAGGCCCCCGCGGGCAGCCCGTCGCCCCTGGCAACGGGCAAAGCGGCGGCGGGGCCGGGCCGGGCCGGGCGGGTCGGGGTCAAGGGCCGGGTCAGGGTGCAGGGGCCGCCCGGCGCCATGGCCGCGCAGGTGGTGGTGGTGGGATCCTGCATGACCGACCTGGTCAGGTCAGTACCACCAGGAGGTTTCCTGCGGCCCTGAGGTCGCGGAGCGCAGGGCGTCGCGGTGCCCGGCGTAGAGCGAGGGCTCCCGGGCGGGCCGAGCCGGGATCGTCCCTAGCCGAGCCGGGCGGGCGTCACGTTCCTCCCCAGGCCGGGATGGCAGGGGCGGAGCGCTCGGCTCCGGGCAGAGGGAACGGCGGCTGCGGCCGGGACGGGGGAGGGACCGAGAACCGGGACGGGCTGCACGGGGAGCTTGTGGAGTCCCCCTCCCGGGAGATGCACAAGAACCGTCTGCACACAATCCTTTGCCATGAGCTCTAGGATGACTCTGCCTGAGCGGGGAGGTTGGACCAGGTGACCCGCTGTGGTCGCTTCCAGCCTCACCCGTCCTGGGATTCTGTGCAGGGGGGCGGCTGGGCGCGGGTGATGTCAGCCCGCAAATAATGCTTTGAAAGAAGAGTGTGGGAACGGGGAGAAGTTTGAACGTGTTTGTGCGCTGGAGCTTTGATCAGCTGTCTGTGACTGGAGAGAGGAGAGACTGGGGATTGTGTTCTCAGCTGTGCCGGGTGGGTCGGCCTTGGCCTGGCCAGGAAAGCAGCGTTTTACAGTAACCTGCACGGGAAACCGTGAACTCTGAGGCTTGTTACCAGCAGAGGAGTCTGACGCGATTTTGTGGAAGTAAATAAAGCTGGTCAGCTGTAACACGTTTTCAGTTCAAAGCACTTGTCACCACTGGAAAAACGAGAAAGAAACAGTATGACAAAGAAACCGATGTTAGCTCCATGAAACAGTAGGTTGTAAGTTGATCACTTGCAGGCAACATTTTGTGTGACACTTTGAAATGGGATTGCAGGGGGAAGAGGGAATGCCTCCCAAGCTGCTCATATCCAAACAGATCAAGAAGTGGATATAGGAAGCCCTCAGAAATTTAGCACCTCCACACCCCAAAGCTGTTTATTTAAATTATTACATCAGTTTTTTAAAGGAATGCCTAATTTATTTTTATTCCTTTTCTGGGCATTTTGCTTTTCAAATTAAGTACTTGCTTCTCATTGTCTTTTTTTTTTTTTTTTTTTTTTTTTTTTTTTTTTTTTTTTTTTTTTTTTTTTTTTTTTTTTTTTTTTTTTTTTTTTTTTTTTTTTTTTTTTTTTTTTTTTTTTTTTTTTTTTTTTTTTGTGCATAGGTAAGGTCTGGAAACATTCTTTTAAAAATTAAAGTACAGAAGCTCAGAAAAGGTCCTGGTTCCTGTAGCCTGGGCTTTGTAGTGAATACTAAATGTCGGGAGAATTCAAGCAAAATTGCAGGAGTTTGCAGCGATGCAAATCCTAAGCTGAACTGACTGACCTTATCGGTCCCAGTAAATTGCAAGTCAGTCTTTGATTTGCACTATTTTAGACACATCTGTTTCTAAACTATATATGCAGACTTCATTAAAGTAGGATTTAAAAGTTTATGTATCTGGACTGCATCAACTGGTCCTGCTAGGAATTCTGCAGTAAAAAAGAATTCTCTATCCACAGACAATTATACCAAAGCCTGTGGGCCAAGAAAGTGCAGAACATAAGATTAGAAGAATATACTGAGAAGTACCATTTAGGCATAGACTTGTGTTGCAGAAATAATTAAACCCCTTTAATAATCATAGAACCTGTGTCAGAAAGATTTAATGCTTTATGTAATCTGCAGAACACGGCAGCTTTCCAAGGGGAATAGTTGTCTTGTAAGTCAGAGTAAGAACTGTGGAACTGATCTTGATGTTTTATGTGTGAATGAGCTATCAGATGCTCGTGACGTTGCACTGAAATGTAAAATGTGGTGCTTTAACCTCAAGATGTTCCTTTTCCTGTCTAAAGTGTGGAGAAAAAATAATCAGAAAGTTCTGACAGCTGCAGCTTTGGGCTTTTCTTGACACTTAAACAAACAAACAGGAAAACCTTTCCCCCCCCTCCTTTTTTTTTTTTTTTCTTGGCTGCAAATTTGGTGTGATAGAAATACATCATTCATTTGAAGTCATATTAACTGGCCACACTGTAACCAGAGATTACAGCATAGGCTGTAGCAATAGATGCTGTTACACTGAGATTAAGTGGTCAAAGAAAAGCTATTTCATTTTTCAATCAGCTGAGAGGGTTTCTTAAATTGTACAAATGCTATCACAAGCATATATCTGACTCAACTGTTATTAGCCTCAACTTTAAGGAGTAGTGGAGAGCTTTTTATATGTGATAAGCTAATTTGCAAGGGACAGCTTCATTCTTTCTGTTACTAGCACAGTACTGCAAATACTTAATAAAATAAGAAAAAGTGTTTAAGTTTAACTGGCAGGAGTTTAATCTGGAAAAAATCTCATTCAGTACCAGTGTAGACATAGTTTAAATGTATCCTGGGTTACAAAAATCTGTGTAAAATTAGTGGAAAGGACTGAGCAGTAGGCTTGGTTGCACCTAGGTGGAACAGGAAACTATAAACAAGTTTTGTTAAATGTGGTAAAAACTGTCGAGTTAGGATTAGGATTGGTGCCAGGAGCATAACTGTTGACTGCCTTTGTATCTGGGATTTAGAAGGGGCTTCATATTCTAGATTTAGAGCTAGGGTTCTTTTCAGCTGGAATGAAAGAGCATTCTGGGGATTGTGAGTTTGTCATTTATGCTGTTGTTTCAGTATGTGAGAGACTTGGATAGCAGTGATCATGTTAAATGCCCGTCACCCATCTGGGGAGCCCGAATGAATTTGTGAGAGTCACGCAGAGGAGGTCAGACACAATTTTGGATACATAGTGTTTCATGGGCATATTCACTGCTCAACACTGAAGACTGTCTTCTTAGAAGATAATGGTATTGATTGAGACTCTGTAAGAGCTGGACAGTGTTGTGTTGTAGCTCAAACTGGTAAGATACCATGTTGACCTTTTAAAATACAACCTTGTCCCTCTGTCTGGAGAGCTGGAAACTCAGACTGTCTGAAGCTCTGACTTTAAATGATAGTGTCAGATTTTAAGTGTTAAGCATTCCCAGGTCTGTAGAGACAAGGTAGTGAAAAGTTTCAAGCTACCTTTGAACATATGGTAGCCAGATTCACCACTGAAAAAATCGGCACATAACGTTTTTACTCAGTACAGTAAACTAATGATTTAAAGAAGCGTAACCTCTGCGTGAAATGGAAACGTACAGTTTGAAATTTGCTGTATCTTATGTAATGACCGAGACAGAAAAGGACAGAGACCTTCTGTTAAAGACAGATATTCATATGTAATTTTGAGAAATAATCAAATTCAGATAAAAGGGTAGTGTGTCTTAAAAGTCTAAAGGGAAGAGGCCCAGTGGTTTGCTTTTAAAACACTGTCCTCATTGGAAATTCTTTTCTCATTGTGCTGTAGCGCTGCAGTGGCAGAATGTGGGTTTTCCAAAGTGAGCTTCACATGATCAAAACAGCCTCACGTACATACATGCAGTAAACCACACTCTTTTGGCTTAGTAGGACCAGGAACAAAACATATTTGTGGTCACAATCACAATCAACACTTCATTGGCAATAGCAGGCAATAGTAATAGAAAACAAAAACAGCATTATTCTGTGTGATCTAGATATCAAACCAGACGGGTACCATCCATAGTATTATTTAAATAATTTCTCTTCTGACTCATACTTGCAGGCTGGTTGTGGCATTGGCATTTTAATTCATATTAAATCAGGACAAGACTAAACATATAAACCAATGAGAACCAGACACACTAAAACAATTATAATAGACAGGAGAAACTTTGACATGGCAATGGAAAACAGCACAAGCACAGAACAAAATGTAAGATGGAAAAACAGTCTTTGGACAGTCACAAAAACAACAGCTTTTCAGTTTAACTTAAGAGAATGACACCACAGTCCAAATACTGGAAAACTGTATTTGTGAGAATGTTCAGAATTTAAAGAATTTTCTGTGGACCTCTTTCCTATCGTCATGTTGCTTCACTCCTTTTAGAGAGTAGAAGTAAAACTTCTGCTTCCAGCCTACTGTTGTAACAACCAGCCTTAATAATTATCATGAGTATTAAACTGATTGGCTGAAATCATTCAGCGGGAGAAGAAAGGCAAGGCAGAGAAGGCACTGAGCTACACACAGAGTACTGTGTTGCTGAACTGGAGCAGACAGCAGTGACAAAACACACCCAGTATAAACATCCCAGACAAACACATCACGTCACCTTTGCTAACTGAGCGCAACCTCTGCTTGGGCCAAATGGCAAAGGTATCTCCTTTAGTGAGATCCTGCGTCTTCATCTTACATCTCTAGTGGTGGTTACTGGCTGCTGAAGTGCTGAAGAAAATGGCTCATTGGCACATTAGGAATGTCCATGATCCAAACCTATGTATGCACTTTCTTTTTTAGAAATGCAGTATTTGGAACAATAATTTCAGGGGGTTTTGGTGGGAATATGAAGAGGAATTTTCTTCCATTTCTTTTGAGTGAGCAGAGGAAATCTCACATATGACTTAATTTTCTTATTTGCTTTGTTTCCGGGTCTCCCACATGTTCTCATTTCCACCATTTCTCCTGCATGCACAGTCACCAACTTTTAGTGGTTTTGTCTTGTTTTAATATTTTTTTCTGCTCTTCAGCTTCTCCTAGCAGCCAAGTGTTCTAGAATCCTTCAAATTCATTTCATTTGTGTTTTTGTTTTTATCTGTAATGCTTCCCCTGCAGCAGCCACTCCTCGTTCTAGTCAATCTGCCATTGCCAGCAGCATGGGAAAGCACAACTGTGAAAGAATACAAGCTTAGTCCAGTTGAGGAAATTAATCTTCTGGATTCAGAGAAAGGCATCAAGGCATGAGAGAATGTGTCATCTGTGAATTGTTTCATTTATGTAATGGTGAAAAATCTGGGCTTGATTTCAGAGCCAGTGCTGTCTGCCCCATGTCTTCTTTTCTGACCTAGCAAAGTGTGGGTGCGTAGTAAATGCTGCATGCATGGGCTCAGCATTTTGTTGTTCTGCTCTGATTTTGGAGGACCTAAATGTGGTTTAGAGAAACTTCTCTTTGCCTTCTCTTGCATAGCAGGAAAAAAGTTGTATCTAGGGGCCCCAAAAAGAAAAATGGGATAAGAATTAAGTTGATAAAATCTTCAGTAATGGCATTCACTAAGAAAATTGTCTTCTATGCATATATAGCTTTTGAATATCTCTAGTGGCCCAGACATTGCTGATATGGGGCCTGGTCCAAGTTCATTCATGTCAAAGAAGCTTTTCACTGCTGTAAACTGAAATTAAATTGTTGTCCCTCAGCAAGATCGGAGTGATGGTTTATTTTAGGGTGAGACACCATTTAATGTTCTGGCGTGTTAAAAGTCTTTGGTGTTATACTCCACACCTGAAAAGCTTCCAACAAGGTTCCTCTAACAAAAAAAGGCAAAATATCGAAAAGGGAAAAAGGAGGGAAAATGTCTGCTTGGGTGCTTTCTAAATTAACACAAAATAACTAGGGCAAGGCCACCAGGGCCTTTTTTTAACCCATTACAAGAGCTGCATTTGCGACTAAGGTTATGAACCCCAAGCGAGAGACAGTGCGCCATTGATCCCGGCTGGCACCTTCTGAAAGAAACTGTTGTTTGTGCCACAGAGGATGCTGTGGGCCCTCTCTGAGAAGGACTGGTGGTACTAGAACACCTGCTCAGCCCTTGTCTTTGGCTCTCATCCATGAAAACTTTTTTTTTCCCTCCCCTTACTAAATGGAAATAGGGGAAGTTTTAAAAGTCTCGGGAAATGTGAATGTGAATCGAGTCTCACAATGTCTTTCAAGTTAAGCGCAAAAAAACTGTTGCTTTCTGGATTCTGTTTAATTGAAATGTCCCTGCCCTTTCATTTGGTGCCTTCATTTTGTGTCCTACACTGCTGTCTACTCTAATTAGGCACTGTCTTTTCTTCCAGAGGCAATTCCATTTCAGCAATAACTAATATGCCTCTTGTTCTTTAGACTTTTTTATCTAGTTAAATTTTAATAGTATGTACTTAGTAGTGTTTTTGAGCTAGAGAATACCCTTTGTGGTACTACAGTCAGGCCTATACTACATGAGTGCCATAGCTGAAGTAACCTCTTTGGCTTCCCAGTCACCAAGAGTAGCACTATTTGCCCTACTGTATGTTGGAAAACAATTTAGAGTCTGAGGACAGGAAGAAGGGCAGTTTGCTTTGTAAAAATATGGGGAGAAGGTAAAGAAAATTGGAGGAAAGTGTTAAAAATGGCTAAAGGTAGATGGAAAGACCTAAGGTTTTATTGCAGAAAGTGTGAAGAGTCTGGGGAGTTGAAGTTGAGATAAAAGGTAGGGAAACTACAGTTCTTACAGTGACAGGTCCCCTGCTGTCCAGAGGCACCTTGTTTTTTCCTTCACTTTCTGTCAGCTCTGCCTGCCTGTTTGCTTACTGCAGTTTTCTCACATGGCTGCATGACAAGGACCAGGGAAAAGCTCTGATTTAGTCCTGCTATCTTCTCCCGGCAGCAGCATTTTGGAAGATATGCACTGAGTAAGGCCTCTGTTACCTCCTCCTTCCCATGAACGAGTTCCCAGCTGTCTGCTTCTGTTCCTACCAGCTGCA